ACCCTGCTCATCCTGCTCTTTACCCTGCTCATCCTGCTCTTTACCCTGCTCATCCTGCTCTTTTCCCTGCTCATCCTGCTCTTTACCCTGCTCATCCTGCTCTTTTCCCTGCTCATCCTACTCTATGCCGTAGAGTAGGATGAGCAGGGAAAAGAGCAGGATGAGCAGGGTAAAGAGCAGGATGAGCAGGGTAAAGAGCAGGATGAGCAGGGTAAAGAGCAGGATGAGCAGGGTAAAGAGCAGGATGAGCAGGGTAAAGAGCAGGATGAGCAGGGTAAAGAGCAGGATGAGCAGGGTAAAGAGCAGGATGAGCAGGGAAAAGAGCAGGATGAGCAGGGTAAAGAGCAGGATGAGCAGGGTAAAGAGCAGGATGAGCAGGGAAAAGAGCAGGATGAGCAGGGAAAAGAGCAGGATGAGCAGGGAAAAGAGCAGGATGAGCAGGGTAAAGAGCAGGATGAGCAGGGTAAAGAGCAGGATGAGCAGGGTAAAGAGCAGGATGAGCAGGGAAAAGAGCAGGATGAGCAGGGAAAAGAGCAGGATGAGCAGGGTAAAGAGCAGGATGAGCAGGGAAAAGAGCAGGATGAGCAGGGTAAAGAGCAGGATGAGCAGGGTAAAGAGCAGGATGAGCAGGGTAAAGAGCAAGATGAGCAGGGTAAAGAGCAGGATGAGCAGGGTAAAGAGCAGGATGAGCAGGGTAAAGAGCAGGATGAGCAGGGTAAAGAGCAGGATGAGCAGGGTAAAGAACAGGATGAGCAGGGTAAAGAGCAGGATGAGCAGGGTAAAGAACGGGATGAGCAGGGTAAAGAGCAGGATGAGCAGGGTAAAGAGCAGGATGAGCTCAAACAGACAGGTCTCGGCACAATATATATTATACCAATTCATCCGTTTCTTGTCATTCGTGAATCAGCCTTTATAACTTCAACATGAATACTTTTTCTGCAGTCAAACCCCATGCTTGTAACCAGTGTGATAAAAGCTTTGGACGGAGATATAATCTCTGGCGACATACCGAAAACGCTCATGCTGAAGATGAATCTGAAATGAATGGGGTTAACGATGATTCTGAAATTGAGGTTATTCAATCTGATCATCCTGACGTGGATGAATCGGGCTCGGAAACGGACTCGGAGGTAGAAGATGACGATGAAGATGAGTCTAGTTCTGAATTAGAAGACAATGCTACTTTCCAAGACTGGTTGGAAGAGTCCAAAGAAGCGACTCGTGAAATGTGGAGCGAAAAACATGAAAAGTACATCAACGAGGGTATGGGTGAAGATCAGGCCAAGGAAAAGGCCGATAGGAAGACCCTCTGGGCAGTCAAGCAAATCTTTTTTGACAAGTACAGGGATTTTCTGTCAAGCTACCTACATCTGAAAGATAACGATACTCATCAAGATATTGTGGACAATCTCGAAGAAAAAATATATAAGGGCATTAGCGTACAAAAGGCTCTCGGCAGAATTATGCCTAAACACCAGATGAAATTTGACGGATTGTTCCATCAAGATGAAGAAGACGTCAGCGAGGAAGACAGTGACGATTAAAGACTAGTCAACATTACAATGACGATATAATTGCGAAGAAATACATTGGGACAGACAAATAAAAACACTAGAGATTTAATAAAGCAATAATAAAGTCAATAAAGCAATAATGTCATAACGTATATACTTTCTACAGTTGTATTTTTCTTTGTTTGTGTTGTCTTATCAATCGGAAAAGCCTACTCTCAGTCATAAAATTAGCGCTTGGACACGCCCTCTAATTAACCCCCGTAAAATACTCATAAATGAAACAGTCATCCTCAATTTTGTAAACAAATCCGGCACGGAGGTACAACTAGGGTTCGGTGCATTCCTATACAGACAGCGTTAAAGGGGCACCATTTTTCCCGTCGAACGCCAATCCCCCCACCTCCTCAACACCCCCCCCCCCCCCGAGTGGTTTCTCACACGTCCGCAAAAAGACGAGCACGTTACGATTGAATTTTTAACTATGGATAGGCTTTAGCTTGGTTTTGGGGTCGTTCTAGTACGAAATATTACAAAATGCACAATGATGATTGTGTTATTCCGATACACTCAATCGGGCACTTTCCAGGCCGTAGTTCCCTTTAAAAACCACATGCCCGCACGTTTTGTTATGGCTTTAAACCACTGAATCCATTCCTTATTGTACGCGCATCTGCTGACTATAGAGCCTAATCGATAATTTAGCCGTCACGGATTAAGAAAACTTGAGCGCTATCTGATCGGACGGCCGTAATGTATACAGTAGTGTGCATGTGTACTACCATTTGCTCTGGCTGATGCCAAAACCTTCCCTTTTCTACGATCACCGCGCACAGACATATATTTTTACTTGGATGATTCTGGTGGCAGTGTAGAAGAGTGCCATTGGTATTGTATCGATTAACAAGAGGAATATAGGCGCACGGACGGAGTTATTTATTTGCTCCAGGATCGGTGCGATCATCGAGGGGTGATCGACCACCGGTCTCCGTACAGACGCATGGATTATGGATCGTGGATTTATCATATACCCCCATGGCTGACACAGGCTGTACCCTGCAAGTATGCTGCGGTGAGTGTTTGTTTATACCTTGGAAAACGCAACGTTGCACAATACCCATAAACCCAATAAAAATGACTTTAAAATAATTCTTCAAATAGACAATCGTACTCGTTTCAGTCTGATCAACGCAAAATTCATTTTTGCCATCTATCGCTGCTTTCTGCTTTCGAGCATTCGGAAATCCAATTACTTTTTGTATCGATCGGATTAACTTCGTAACAATACTAGTGCGCTGACTTGGCACGCGCCCTCTCCCGTCTATTGTTGGGGGATTAAAGATCCGACCAGCTGGTCGTTCACAGGGACTAACGTATGAAACTCATATTCGGGCTAAGATCCAAATGTACCATAAAAATATATTTTTTTTTCCATACCTTATGCAATCTTTCCCATAGAATTGGTCAAACTGTACCCGGTTCCTTATACCCACACCTATTCCCTATTCATCCCATCCATTCATTAGGTCAAACTGTGCCCAGAATTTCATAACCCCATTAATTCATATTTATATCTACATATTTCCATATTTACATATTTATGTGACCTTTACATATTTCTATGCCAAAGGTCAAATTGTGTTAAGAAGTCCCCCTCCACTACTTCTAAGTATGTATAGATATTTGCGATGGATTATTTTGAAAGCTGTGAAAAAGAGTGCGCTTTAAATATAGAGGGCGCTAAATATCATGATGTTGTAATTGTTAACATGGTTTTCCATAGTTGTGTTATAGGGTATAACTGTACCACATTTTGTTAATTAAAGCTCATTAATACTGAGGTTTGGCAAGACGTTTTGTTGATATCTGGGGGAAAAGGTTAATGCGCTCAACGTGTACTCTCTAAATATGTATAGATATTTGCAATGGATTATTTTGAAAGCTGTGGAAAAGAGGGCGCTTTAAATATAGAGGGCGCTAAATATCACGATGCTGTAATTGTTGACATGGTTTTCCATAGTTGTGTATAACTGTACCAAATTTGTGAATTAAAGCTCATCAATACTTAGGTTTGGCAAGACGTTTTGTTGATATCTGGGGGGGGGGAGGTTAATGCGCTCAACTTATACTCTCTTAATATGTATAGATATTTGCGATGGATTATTTTTGAAAGCTGTGAAAAAGAAGGCGCTTTAAAAATAGAGGGCGCTAGATATCATGATGCTGTTGTTGTGAACATGATTTTTCACATAGTGATGTTTTAGGGTAAATGTGTCAACTTTGTGAATTTGTAGCTCATCAATATACGTTTGGCAAGACGCTTTGTTGATATCTGGGGAAAGGTTTAGTGCGTGCAACCTGAGGGTATGATGGTAGCCATTTTAGATCCTTCATATGTCCTCATAATTCACTTAGACCCAAAAATATACTTTTCAAAAAAGTATGATGGGAATAAACATATTACACGGCAGCTATTTACGATTAATGCAAATTAGGCACCCTTCCCAAATGAATTTCCGGTGTCACCCCTTCTAAATATCTTCTCTAGGTCTATAAGAATCCATCTGCCAGGTTTGGTGCTTTGGACCAGTCGGTCACGCTCTTGTCAAAAAATTTGGTCTGAGCCACTTGACTATCATGCGTAATACCAGAGGAACAAAAACCTGTCCTCGGATGTGACGCCACATACAAGGGGTATAAAGTGTGAAGGATCCACGCCTTGAACCCTTATCCTGCATTGGAATAATTAAACACGCATTAAGCTGTTAAAATCAACGAAGAGTGGTTAACTTAAATTTTGCATGTAGATGACTAGTCTCCCGGAACGAGCCGTAACCTTGGACATCCTAGCACGCGATCATGATGAACGAATTACATGTAGCTGCAATGTTGAGAGAGAGCATTCGGCCAGCAAGCTGCGTCGTTAGTATGATGGCTTCGATAATTTGGAGGTTCGGTAAAATACACTCAATCAAAAAAGAAAGTACCCCCCCCCCCTAATACTCTTTGTGTAACTCGAAAACTACTGGGCACATCTTGCTCAAATTACGACTAATCAGTGCAGAAATTCCTTAGCAATCCAGCCATTTCTTTGTGTGGCCGACAACAGTGATAATGTGTACAAAATTATGCAAATCATGACAAGTGGTACCGAAAAAAAGTTGCACTTTTGTAGACTTGCAAGGTGAGTGTGAATCGGAACATGCACGTATACAAAAGTGCAACTGTTTTTGGTATCATTTATCATAAATTGCATAAATTCGTACATATTATATATTACCGTTTTGGGCCACATAAAGAGTATGGCTGGATTGCTAAGGAAATTCTGTACTGATCAGTCGTAATTTGAGCAAGATGTGCCCAGTAGTTTTTTAGTTAGACCAGTGTTGGAAGAGGGGGGACTTTTCTTTTTTGGTTGAGTGTATCAGATCTTTAAACGAAGTTCGTTGTTCAAGCAATTGCATGTTAATAATTAATAACGCTAAAGTGCCGACGCCATACAAAATTGATCAATCTCCATTAGGGTAATTTGGAGCGATCTGCCAATGAGCTGAACAGGCGTTCCTCCATTTCAAGATTGCACCCACTGAGGAATAGATGAAATGAATTCAAATTAAAAATGCTGAAGGAAGTAAATCGTCTTCACTGGAGATTGGGTTCTGTGGGAGATATGTGTCTTCTGTTCTTGGCAACCCAGCTGTGCTGCTTTCAATACGTTCACTGCGGATTTAGAGGTAAGTTGATGCGTTGGTTCGCAGAGTTGCTGACTCGAGTCATGTTACTTGGACTGAGTCGGACTCGAGTCGCTATTTTTGTGACTTGTGACTTGACTTGTAAATACCAGCTTTGACTTGTGACTTGACTTGGACTTGCAAAAAATGACTTGTTACCAACCCAAGTCAGACGCTACTCGATTTTTTAAAAATTGAAGTCGCCCATCACAAGGCCCAAAAGGCCACTCAAGGTGTTTATAAATGCAGTTTATAGATGCAGCGAGAAAGTTTCATTCCAGAAAATAGACCCCAATGACTGAATCCAGTAAAATGAATAGTTCCCACTAGTTTCAAAAGTTTTCAATAAGACTGTCACAACAAACTACAGTTTTCAATGACCAAGTCTCTTGCTTAATGTAATGGTTGAACAAACTTTGAAAGGAACCTTTCATGAAAAGAAAACATGCCTTTGTCAATTGCATGTAAAATACCGGATAGCTTAACCCATTGGTATAGGCGTTTAGTATGTATACATGAAAATTGAACAAAGGTGTTAGTATACTTTCATGTCATCTCAGCATTTATTTCTACAGTGTAAAGTACATTTATTAAAGTATACAAAGGGCTAATATCCGACGGATATGTGATAAACTACAAGAATAGTAATTGCAACACATTGAAAAAGGGGAATTAAGGAGGCATGTTCAAAATAACTCGTAAGTTAACGCCAGGTTCTTTTTTAAAGCTGAACAAAATAATGTGCAACTTGACGTGTTCTTGGACAAAGATACTTGTGACTTGACTTATGTTTAGACCAAACATGCCAAATGACTTGTGACTTGACTTGTGACTAGACCTAATGACTTGTGACTTGACTTGTGACTGGACCTAATGACTTGTGATTTGACTTGTGACTGGACCTAACGACTTGTGACTTGACTTGGACTTGCAAACAATGACTTGTGACTTGACTTGGACTTGCAAACAATGACTTGTGACTTGACTTGGACTTGTAAAAAAATGACTTGCTGCCACCTCTGTTGGTTCGCTGAAATAGTAGTATTCAAGCTCCTAAGTTCATAGTCATACATGATATTGTTGCGTTCATAGTTTATAGGGAGACATTCTGCAACAGTGGGAGTGCAGAAATAAAGGTGAGAAGGTAAAGGCAACTAATATGGGCTTATTGCGATCCCTTGGAGGATGGCGAAGGCTCAACGAAGTCGGCCCGAAAAAAAATCGATTAGAATTTTGTCTCAAATAACGCTTACCAGAAAACCCCAATATCTCATTATTCTTCACTTGTTCACATAATTATAATCTTTCAATTTCAAGTTTGCTGGTATTAAAGACAGTGGCGCACAGACAAGATGTTGTCAGTGTGGTGGGCCATGGGAGTATCAGCATACCAGCAGGAACTGCAAATTCAAAAAGGGGGGGGGTGTTGACCTCTTTTGACGCTAGAGGGCGCCATTTTTGTCAACCATTCATTCACTTTTTCCCTCCTCTGCTGTTTCATTCCTCAAAAACAGATCCTGCAAAAAGACACTTCCTTGGCAAGCGGCAAATTTCAAGTGGGGGACACGTTCCCACGACCCCCCCCCCCTCCGACCCCCCCCCCCCCCTGTTATTTCGTTTGTGTACTATATGAACCTAGCAACCAGTTGTGTAAAAAAAAATCAACAAGTTGTGTAATGTTTTACACAAGTTGTGGAAACAACACAACAGGTTGCTAGGTTCATATAGTGCACAACCGTTTGAATTTTACACAACCGAAATAAAAGTGCCCCCCCCCCCGGCTACGCCACTGATTAAACAATACACATTGAACACTTAACTGGGGACACTTTCTTCCTTGTAATTAAAGATCGAATGAGTTTCCGGTTGCAACATTTTATGCTCTTTTTATGAGGCATTCAAACGTGTTTCTTTTCAAATGCGTTGCTTTCAAAAGGCTAGGAACCCCAGTGCTTACTTTATTTCCTCGTTTCCAATAATAAGCCCTGGATAGGAAACTTTCTTCCTTTACCCTGCTGATTCGATACCGCAATTTGCTAGTTAGTAATGGTTTTATATCATATAGTTGGTGTTGTTATTTCTAACGTGCATTACGTGTTTTCACGATCATTGTAATTTTCACGTCCACGCCTTCTCAAAAATACTCTTTTCCTTTCCAGTTTGCTTAAATTAATATGAAATGTGATACTGCATATTAGCGGGCCAAACTGTAACATTTAACTTCCAAAAAAATCGTGTTTTCATAACTCACGGCGCGACGAATTGATGCTGTTTTTACCCCAGACACGCATACAAAACCAAGCGCTAATGTAACGCACATGCAGGCACAAGACTATTCCTCATTTGCATTACGTGTTCAAAAATCTTGCACATGCAAATGATCCAATACCACTGTGAGAGAGCAGGTAGTGGTGGGCGCGTACTGTTCGACACCCTGGGGACGAGGTTGATGAACAGTGGATCACTAATAATGTGTGCGAGTTTGAAACAGGCGTAGAACCTGATCAATCATTGAAATGCATTTAATGCAGCGCCAGAACTTACTGCTGGCAGTTCGACCTTAACTTCCAAGGCTTTATCTGCACTGCTGGCAATAGGCTATGCAACAACCAACATTATTACTCACGAAGGTTTTCAATATTTTCTCAATAAATGTGAGACATTATGTGGATTTTCTTCGACCCAGACCATCGCAATATGACTAGGAAACAATACGAAACATAGTCATTTTTGTCAAACGTTGGACGAAAGAACACCTTCAATTTTGAGTTCTCAAGCGTGTTCAGGTTATCCATATGCCAAATTTCTAAACCGGTGTGAAAATGCGGAAGACCGTATCTGGTGTGAAAGGCCATAAAGGTATAACATAAACATACACAAAATCGTCACCGTTTTCACGAAGGGGCGAATTTCATGAAAATCGTCTGTTTTTCGAAATTTGGTTTTTGGTGAAAATGAATAAATATATCAATATCTACAACCTGGTCAGGCTATACTTTCAAAAAAAATAATTAAAATCATAAGTAACCTAATTAACGAATGGGCGAATTTGCCACAAGTGCCGTTTTGCGTTTTCACGAAGGGGCGAATTTCCACATTCTGTGGTATTAATATTTTTTACTAAATTAACAATAACGCGTTATTACGAAGGGGCGAATTTCAGGCGCGTGCAATTAAACGTTTTCACGAAGGGGCGAATTTCAAGGCGCACGCGCAGTGAGGCAGAGTATGCGGGTACTGTACAAAAAATGCATTGACTCAGCCCGCAGTAGGGCGAAATCTGCGCGTACTCACTCAAGCGTCAAATGAAAAAAAAGGACCAACTTTAAATGCGTTTATCTCGAATGTTTGTTCAGACGGTGAAATACTAAATTCGCCTCTTCGTGAAAACCGTGACGAAATATTCCTACGTTGAAAATTTGCGTTTTTGTGTAATCGCGCGAAGGAATTTCAGGTATACAAAATGTTAATGGTCCTCAAAAATTTAGCAGACGACGTAGGAATCGTGCTCTGAATATATGCGGCCCTTTCCTTGTAATTCCATGTCACAAAAAAGGAGGGTTATAATACTTTTTTCCGTATAAACTAAAAGACAGTGGATTTCTTTGTCTCTCTTTTAAGCCGTTGTTCATCTCCCTATCCATAGGCTACTACAGTCTTCCATTTCCCAAGTTACGTTTAATCCAGGGCAGTATTCTTTGTGAAAGTGTCCTCTCTTTTTTTTTGGGGGGGGGACTTTTTTTTCTTATCGTTGTTTATTTATTTATTGTTCATATTTTTGCAGCCATTTCTTTGAGTGGAAAGCCAACATCTCAGAGTAGTACAACCAGCAGTTTGTACCCTTCGTTCAAGGCGATCGACGGCACCGCATCTTCGTTTTCGCACACGGGTAAGCTCGTCAAAGGAGAGTGATCTGCTTTAATGCTGTATAGTCGAGACATTCAATACCCGACTGACCGTGACTGATTGTCAGTTGTCTTGTGAATTACACTTGCATTAACCTTGGCCCCTTTGACTCGGATGACTGCCAGCTTGGCCGCGGTCGAGACCAACTAATCTAGGATAAGCTTTCACTACGCTTGCATAGTCTGTTACCTTTAATTTGGGGCATAATGCAAAGCAACGAAATGGAGTTTGTGGTGTCAAGAAAAAGAAGACATGGTTATGTAACAGATGGTAGTTACCATATTCCTAAATAATTAGTCATACCCGAGAAATCAACAAAATAAGCTCGGTTTCCTTTTTTTTTTAAAACACCCTGTATAATGCTGTAGTCGAGGCATTACCCGACGCCTGAAATATTATACAAATATTGAATGCTTCGAGTGGAGTAGTAAGACTAGCCTCCCGAGGTGATCCATGGACCATTCTATTTTCCCGAGGCGAAGCCGAGGGAAAATAGAATGGTCCATGGATCACCGAGGGAGGCTAGTTTTACTTCACCACGAGATAAAGCATTCAATATTTGTTTTATAACACTTCAACCACAGATTCTGCTTGATTTTAATATTTTAAATTATTTAAATCTGAACACAGTTGAAATAAACTTCAATTTCAATACAAAAATTGGTGGAAAATGTATTTCTCTCTTAAAAACTACCCCTTCGCGAAATGTTTGAACCCAAGTCTGCGGCGCGCTCTCTTTGGAATAATACGCGTTACGCACAACGCGCAACGCGCAACGCACACACCAGCATGCATTTGCACACAAATACCGCGCCGTGGAAATAGTACTTTGGTTGCTAATGGTATAGTACTTTGGTTGCTATGCGCATAGTACTTTTGGCCGTGCACAGAAAGATAGCAAAATTAGAAAGTAACATGCGACTCGCTCTCGGCCAATCAAGACACACACAGAATCTGTGGATGAGGTATTATACAAATATAACATGGTTTGAGGGTGGACAGTCGATATTCGCTCCCCGAGGTATTGGAAGTTGACAAACTAGTTCCCGAGGCGAAGCCGAGGGAACTAGTTTGTCAACTTCCAATACCGAGGGGAGCTAATATCGACTGTCCACCCGAAATAAACAATGTTATATTTGTTTTACTATACCTCATACATATTCAGTTGCCGAATTTTGTTTTATTATTATGCACCTAAAACAAAATTTGGGGAAACTTGTACAGCTCACCAAAAGATTCAACTTCAATTACTAGTTCGGTTCGTTTGCAATTATAATACAGTTACTACAGTTGTAAATACAGTTGTTTGCAATGTGTACAACTTTCTTTTGTACAGGAGACATCTTTACACGGTCTATACATTTTCTCCAGTACGGCATCATTGAGCTCTGTATATTAACATTTACGCGAACCGTGCAACCATGCATCTCTCCTGTGCGATGTTCGCGCGTGCGTACTGCACCCGTGCGACAGTTCCTCGATTGCTCTGTAAAGCGCATGCGTAGTAGACTGTCGCACGGGTAACCCATGCGACAGTCTACTACGCATGCGTATTTACAATGTGCGTGAATCCTCGCGCGCGCGTTTGGTAAACAACAAGAATAACATCTGGCACGTGATGGTGAATTGACAAGTGAACGTTCGGCTCTCGATCATGAATTTGTATGAGGTATAGTAATATAAACTGAACTAATGGTTGATAGAACTCTGTGTATGAAGAATAGACGCCACTTTATGACCAGTCTTGAAGAGGAGCTTGGCTTTGCTGGTCCAAGAAGGCCATACCTTCCTCTTTGCACTTATCTCGCTTTATATTGACTGACTGACTATGAATTATACATAATTATCCTTGCGCCCCTTTGACTCGGATGACTGCCTAACAATTGGCCGTGGCCGAGACCAACAGACTGATCTAGGATCAGTTTTCACTACGCTTGGCATAATGCAAAGAAATTAAATAATAACATGAAAGAAAGTACCGTTGATATTTAAACGCAAATGAACGAATACACTCCGTCCATACCAGGAGCGTAAATCCCGGGGATGGGGGTATAATAATCCTCCCCCACCCAAACATGTGGATTTCGAAATGTTTTTCGAACTTCCAACAACCAAAATGTATTCAATAATTATCGTATTGAAAGGGGAGACAAAATGTACAAAAGCTTATGCGCCGTTCTGACGCAAGCAGACATGTTTACCCAAATCTCATATCGGAAATCTATTTGAATGACAAAATCTATCAAATTTAATGAGAAATGAAAGAAGTCACTTTATACACCCGACACCCGATAGATAACAGGATATAGGCCTAGGCGTTGTTTTAATTAGTAATTCACTATACAACAGAAGGCAAATCGATTAAAAATTATACTGTGACTTCTCTTTTTTTTTCTTTTCCAGCTGGTGGTGACCCGCATCCATGGTGGAAAATCGACCTCCAAAATGAACGCTGCTTGGGACAAATCACGGTCCAGATCCGATCGGGTTGTTGTGGTAGGTATAATAATAAGCTCATTCGAATATCGTTCAGGCTGATGAAGGGTTGTCAAACATCGCGATTTCATCTATTGAATATTCTGAAATAAGCGATTTATAGTTGTTGCCAGGCTTTTGGGGTTGGATGGCATAGACATGGCATCTCCCCCGGCTCAGAAATCCGGGAATAAACAACATGAACTTTTGATTTTGAAATATTAGACCCCCTTAATGACCCGTAAGATGGAACGCAGGGATTTAGTACTGAATCCACCCCTCTTAGGAGCTTCGCAGCACGGGAAAGGGGGAAGCACGTGTCAATCCCCCCCCCCTCCCATCTAAAATCTGGAATTGAACAACAATATAATTATATATATATATCGTTTGCCTTCAGTGCCCCCACTGTTATTTCGGTTGTGTAAAAATCAAACGGTTGTGTACTATATGAACCTATATAGCAACCCGTTGTGTAAACTGTTGTTTACACAACTTGTGTAAAATATTACACAACTTGTTCATTTTTTACACAACTGGTTGCTAGGTTCATATAGTACACAACCTCAATAACAGTGCCTTGAAACATGCCACCCCAGATGCCCCCCCCCCCGGCTTAATTAGGAACCACCTGCCATACACCGTACACTTACAGTCACTCCTCCGCTGATCATCCACGCACGGTCTAAAATCGCACTCATCTTCCCCTGTTTCAACCCAGGACAAAATCGCTTCTTCGGCACCGTGGTGCGAGCAGGACTGAGCACCAACTACACCGAGAATCGACCATGCGGCTCGCCGGCCACCGCGGCCCAGTCCTCGCCAGGCACGGTGACCGAGTTCCCGTGCGACACGCCCCGCAGGGCTAGGTACGTCAGCCTCGACATCGATCCGTCGAGACCTGGGGTGACAACGCCGATCCTGCAGATTGCCGAGTTGACCGTGGAGGAGCACACAACCAGACCATGCTACCGTAAGAGATTTCTGATCGTTGTCATCATGGGCGGCAATCCCAGGGATGATGGGGGTGGGGCACATGTCCTCCCCCCCCCCCTTAATAATTTTGGGGACGCCGATAGCGATGTTCCCCTAATGTATCCCAGTTCATGTAGATTTTAGCGATATGTGCCTAAATTTGCACTTTATTTGTCCCACATGTTGTTTTATTTTTTAATAGTTGTAATATTGTGCGCATCACCTCATGAAAGTATTTTGCGGAGAATGCGCATTATTATGTCTTGTTGTACAAGGTAATCCTTATCTTTAGGACACCTCTATTTTTACGAGTTCTGTTCAAAACTGACTTTTGCAGATGACTGTCTAATACCAAAGTGACATTTGCAGGCTAAAGCAGTCTTTTTTCTTCAGATAAACTCATGTTAGTTGTAACTTTGAAAGCACTTTCAAAGAAAATATGACTTATACCTTTTTTGCAGTTCGCCATCTTGCTTTTTAAATATATTTTCTGTTTGTCATCGTTGTCTTTTACCCCTCATAAATCAAAGCCCTGCCCTCTTTCCACAAAATCAAACCTACTGATATTCAAGAAGATTTCATTGCCAAATGTTCAAATGTGCCAAGAAATACCAGAATGTCACTTTTGAGTGTCATTTAGTCAGCTGTTTTGGTGAGTCTTTTAGCCTTATATAGGAACGGGGTCCTAAAGGTAAGGATTACCCTTGTACAATGTGCACATGTTTAAGCAGCGTCCCCTATAGTCAGATACAGCGTTCAGAACAAAAATCGAATCCAATACATGACGAGTTTATTTCAAAAACGCGATAAGCGCCATATTGTTTAACCTTTTTAGAATACTTTCCAAGGCCTGCTGCCTGGATGCTCAAAGACTGTATCGACTGGTTTTGTGTAGTTAAAGAATTCAATTTAATACATTTTACAATTATTTATCAATAAATTTATAAAGCAAAAAAAATGAAGTTAAGAACCAGCTGTCGCACTGTTTTTACTCTGTAAAGTTTCAAAAAATATTTCACTGTTTTTTTGGATGGATTTATCGCGTTTTTGAATAAAATTTTTGCATGTACATACACTCGAAAAACTGTGTTTTACAATTAAACACAATTTTGCTATAACTTTGTAAACATGTTTAGGAGCTAATCATTATGTGTTCAATTTCTGCATTACATCAATGTTCAATTGCTAAACACTATCCCTCCTCGCTCTAAACATGTTTGGTATGTAAACATGTTTACAAACTGATAGCAAGAAGGTGTTTAGAAAAGTGTTTAATTGCTAAACACAGTTTTTGCATCGCGCACCCCGACTTTTTATCTTTCTTAATTTCCTTTTTAGCTCACATTAAGTCGACCAAATTTGAGAGGCTGCACAAGAAGGGTCTGATCGACAACCCCAACCCGTTGTCGACCAAGACCGCCAGATCCTTGACGACCTGCGCCGATTTCTGCACGAAGGAGACTGACTGTTTTTCCTTCGATTTCGGCAAGAGTCTCAAGCAGTGTCGACTCTACAATCTCAACTCAACGGACATAGTGATGACACCCAACGATGAATTCGCCGTTTATACCGTACTCAACTGATTGGATTTTCGATGGACCTTGTTTATATCAGAAAGATGTAAAAATGTAATAATTTCAGACGAAATTGTACAGTGTGTCAAAAAAAACCCACGAACCCGATGTTCCCTCATTTACACAGCTTTAAAAAAAATACATTGCAAATATCGATACATATTTGGAGAGTATAGTTCATTAGCTTTTCAATAACGAAAAATATTTCCTTTTGGGTAAATATTTGTTGAGTTATGGTCAACTCAAAACTGTTTGGTTAACTTCTTATTTACTTTGCTGCTCCGTCTCTGCCCTCTAATTGCTTGCCTTTTTTCACAAAAGTCAAGTTTCAGTCCGTGTTCCAATTACGGCAGTCAAAATATTAGTTGCCGTGGACAAAATAAAAAAGCGGTATTCGTTTTCAATTGGCCATAACTCAATAAATGATTGGAAAGATTTGTTCGTTGTTGAAAAGCTAATGGACTATACTGTCTAAATAATATGTATAGATAATTGCGTATTGTATTATTTTTTAAAGCTGTTAAAAAGAGGGCGCTTTAAATATAGAGGGCGCTAATTATCATGATGTTGTAATTGTTCACATGATGTTTCTATAGTTGTGTTATATATAGGGTATTGTTCCAACTTTGTGAATTTGACGCTCATCCATACTGAGGTTTGTCAAGACGCTTTGTTGATATCTGGGGGAAAGGTTGAATGCGCTCAACGTGAGGGTATAATGGTAGCCATATTGGATCTTTCATGTGTCCTCATAATTATGCAGTCATTTAGATGTGTTAGAAAATGTTATTTAAGCAAGGAGGTAAGTAGAATCCCAAAAAAATATAGTTAAAAAAAACAATTTGTAAGAATCTATCTGCCAAGTTTGGTGCTTTGGACCAGTCGGTCACCTCACGATCTTGTCAAAAATTGGCTCTAAGCCACTTGACTATCATGCGTAATACCAGAGGAACAAAAACCTGTCCTCAGCTGTGACGTCAGATAAAAGGGGTATAAAGGGCAAAGGATCCCCGTATTAACACGTATCAACACGTATTAAGCTGTTAAAAGCAACTAAGAACGGTTAATGTAAATTATGAATGTAGAGGCCTAGCCTCCTAACGAGCCGCAACCTTGGACATCCTAACACGCGATTAGCGTCATGATGAACATGAGGAATTATTAGTCCCGATCTTCGATCGACTCTGTGTATGGGTTCAGAATCAATAGGGGCGGATCCAAGAATTTTTGCAGGGAGGGGGGTGTCTACACTTTAGTTTTTCTAAAAATATTATGTCAATCTTCAAAGTGCTGTGTTTTCGAAATAAAGAGAGTAGCTACAATGTTGTGAGAAAACATTCGGCCAGCAAGCTGCGTCATTAGTTTGATAGCTTGGGTAATTGGAAGGTTCGGTCTCTCGGTAAATGCCTCAAACAACTGAGTTCGTTGCTATAAAGGCAATTGTTCATAGTGCATTGGACGCGAAAGTGCCCACGCCATATAAAATCGATCAATCTCCATTAGGGAAAAAGATCCATTTGCTGATGGGCTGTACAGGCGTTCCTCCATTTCAAGTTTTCACCCACTGAGGAATGATGAAAGGGATAGGCCTACAAAAATACAAAATGGAAGGAAATCGTCTTCACTGGATATTGGGTTCTGTGGGAGATATGTGTCTTCTGTTCTTGGTAACCCAGCTGTGCTGCCTTCAATACGTTCACTGCGACTTAAGAGGTAAGTTGATGCGTTGGTATACGGTTCGCTGAGAGTGGTATTCAAGTTCATAGTCAGTGGCGTAGCCACCGGGGGGGCGTGGGGGGCGACCGCCCCCCCCCCATGAAACCTTGTCGCCCTCCCCCCCAGCCGCCCCCCCCCCCCCCCACTGAGATTTTGAGTTTCTAAAAACAATTATCATTGATCTAAATCTAAATAGTCGCGAATGATCCACATGATGACCACTGAGAAACGACCCTTCGACCGGCGACCGCGGACCAGTAAGCTGACAACCGGTGTGACATAGCGCATAATGATAATCTAATATGCGTATTAACACCCACTGCACTGCTCGCTCACACCACGGAACACGTATTATAGACAGGTGGTCCGTGGGTCACACAGTTTCAGTCAGCGATATCACGCGAATCGGCCACGCACAAACTTTTTCCTCCATTCATATAAGCTAAATGATAATAATAGACCAATTAAAATTCCTTGAAATCAGTGGCGTAGCCACGGGGGGCGTGGGGGGCGACAGCCATGAAACCTTGTCGCCCCCCCCCCAGTCCCCCCCCCCCCCCCCCCACTGAGATTTTGAGTTTCTAAAAAAATTATCATTGATCTACATGACGCCATGGGCGTCAATCCTGGGGGGGGGGGACAGGGGGACTGGTCCCCCCCCCCCACTTTTTGAAGGGTGGGGGACACAATATCAAATGTCCCCCCCCCCAGATTTTTGAACTCGTGTCTCATTTACAGGGCCCTATTATGTACTACAATGTATCTTTTGCTTAGAAAATATTGGTTAAAGTGGTCAGAAATTGCCTCAGATAGCACCACATAGCATTTAGAATCCAAAATGTTTCGGGGCCCTTAAGCGGGCCCCGAACCCCACGCCTATAGCTCAGAATTCTGGTAGCTGATTCAATGACTCCAACCTCCAAAACAATGTTCAAAAATTTTTCTTATGCCTTTAGCTGAGAAAACCTCGAAAATTATGTTTCAATTATTATCTTTTGTGCTAAGATAATTATTGGTTAAAGTGGTAAGAAATTGCCTCAGATGACACCACAGAGCATCGAGAATCCATTTTTTTTTCGGGGCCCTTAAGCGGGCCCCGAACCCCCACGCCGTAAGGGCTTCGCGCTCGCATCAGTTCTGATCAAGGTATGTCCCCCCCACACTTTTGAGAAGCGATTGACGCCCCTACATGACGCCCCCCATGAAATGTTCCAGCCCCCCCCCCCCCCAGCGCCCCCCCCCACTGAAAAATTTCTGACTACGCCACTGTTCATAGTCATGCATGAAATTGTTGCTTTCAAACAACCTTGCGTTTTTTTAACGTCTTTTCACTTTGTTTAATGATAATGAAAAAGATAGATCACTGAAAACAATTGTCCTATCGCCGTTTGCGAATTAGCCACGCCCCTTAGACAACCCTATGCAAGGAGTTTTTGTACACTAAGTTTTGTTTGTCTCAGATTTTACGCGTTTCGCGTCTATTTATATATAATGTAATTGGTGGACAATATTTCACAAGCTGCGTTGACGCGATTCTAACGCGATTCTACCGCGATAGGTCAATTAACCATAGATATAGAATAAAAAGACATTCTATATCTATATGCAATTAACCTATCGCTGTAGAATCGCGTCAACGCAGCTTGTCATCACGTGACATGTGACGTCATCATTCAAGCCCTATAAGAATGTAATCACATATTCATAAATACCTAAGACAGTTTACGCATTCCTATTGGTCGAGAGCCCGTCACGTGGCCAGTCTTAAACGGATGATAAAGACATGGCTAGCTGGTCTTAAACACTTTTCCAGTGTCACAATAAAATGTGGACTCCTAAAAATCCAGTGCCTCTTATCGTTTCATTGGTTGAACGTTCACAATCCTCACGTAGGCATGCGCAACACTACCAGGGAGTCAGAATTTTATAGTATACAAATATTGAGTGGCTCAGCGTGGAATGGGAGGAATATTATCGCAAGGTAAAATCTGGACTTTTCCATTTCACGAGGCGAAGCCGAGTGAACTGGAAAAGTCCAGATTTTACCGAGCGATAATATTCCTCCCATTTAACAACTTAAAGCCACTCAATATTTGTTTTATATAACTGACATATAGATCCTTGTCATTTGATATATTTGAACTTTTTTTCAATACAAAACTGGAGGAAAATGTATTTCTCTCTTCCAAACCACACTTTCATGAAAATGTTTGAACCCAACGCTGTAGCGCTGGCTCTTTGGAACAATACGCGCTACGCGCGACGCTGAACGCCACACCAGCATGCATTTGCACACAAATACCGCGTCATGATCCTAACTGTTGAATAGTATTTCCCATTCCCCATGGGCGGATAGTATACAAATATAACATGGTTTGAGGGTGGACAGTCGATATTCGCTCCCCGAGGTATTGGAAGTTGACAAACTAGTTCCCGAGGCGAAGCCGAGGGAACTAGTTTGTCAACTTCCAATACCGAGGGGAGCTAATATCGGCTGTCCACCCGAAACCAACCATGTAATATTTGTTTTACTATACTTCATGCATATTCAGTTGCCGATTTTTTTTTTTTTATATATATATATGCACCTAAAACAACATTCGGGGAAACTTGTACAGCTCACCAAAAGAATATTGTTGCTCAACTTCAATTACTAGTTCGGTTCGTTTGCAATATAATACAGTTACTACAGTTGTAAATACAGTTGTTTGTGTACAACTTTCTTTTGTACAGGAGACATCTTTACACGGTCCATAATTTTTCTCCAGTACGGCATCATTGAGCTCTGGAAATTAACATTTACGCGAACCGTTTAACCATGCATCTCTCCTGTGCAATGTTCGCGCGTGCGTACTGCACCCGTGCGACAGTTCCTCGATTGCTCTGTAAAGCGCATGCGTAGTAGACTGTCGCACGGGTAACCCATGCGACAGTCTACTACGCATGCGTATTTACCCTGTGCGTGAATCCTCGCGCGCGCGTTTGGTAAACAGCAAGAATAACATCTGGCACGTGATGGTAAATTTACCAGTGAAGGTTCGGCTCTCGATCATGAATATGTATGAGGTATAGTAATACTTTTTGAGCCGCGGCATGAATGGGAGCAATAACAAATGCCACGTGATGTGAGTTCGACCAGTCAAATGACAAGGATCTGTATGTCAGTTATATAATTCTAAATTCAAAACGCAACGCGCCAGGTGCGTTCTGCGCGATATCGCGCAGAACATGATACGCGCGTGTCAATCTCCATAAAAGGGTTGTTTACATCTTACTCGCCAGCTGAACACTCCATTATTTTGCAAGAGGGATGTTTCAAAAGCATAAAGTGAATTTTTTGAACAAAATCGGGATGTTTTGAACGAATTATATGATTTTTTTTGACCGAAAAGGTATTTATGAATGGGAATAAATATGTGCTCCGTCGGTATTTATCACTCTGTTTAAGACCACTTAGAGTCTGGGTGCTGATAATTACCCTCGCCTCCAGCTCGGGTAATTATCAGCACCCAGACTCTAAGTGGTCTTAAACAGAGTGATAAAAACCTCCGGAGCACACATTTATTCCCTTATTCATAAATACCTCAGACAGTTTAGCCATTCCTATTGGTCGAGAGCCCGTCACGTGGCCGGTATTAAACGGATGATAAAGACATGGCTAGCTGGTCTTAAACACTTTTCCAGTGTCACAATAAAATATGGACTCCTAAAAATCCAGTGCCTCTTATCGTTTCATTGGTTGAACGTTCACAATCCTCACGTAGGCATGCGCAACACTACCAGGGAGTTAGAATTTTATAGTTCTAAATTCAAAACGCAACGCGCCAGGTGCGTTCTGCGCGACATCGCGTAGAACATGATACGCGCGCGTCAATCTCCATAAAAGGGTTGTTTTCATCTTACTCGCCAGCTGAACACTCCATTATTTTGCAGGAGGGATGTTTCAAAAAGCAAAGTGAATTTGTTGAACAAAATCGGGATGTTTTGAACGAATTATATGATTTTTTTTTACCGAAAAGGTATTTATGAATGGGAATAAATATGTACTCCGTCGGTATTTATCACTCTGTTTAATACCACTTAGAGTCTGGGTGC